CGTTTCAATTTTTTTTTAAAAAGAGCTTCAGATGATTGTATTAAGATGTAAACAAAGTATGTTACGACCATCACGATATGCTTGTTTTTCCATAACGGCTTCTTGACTTTTGAATAAAAAGTTTAAGCGAGAACGATTTTATTATTGAAACCAAGTTACAAATCAATTTCGCTTGATTTTCTGTTTGTTTACTCAATATATTGATAAGCTTGTTAAAGTTTTTCCTATTTCTTTTTTAAAATATACATCACTTATTTTAAATAATTGATGTAAATAAGTTAATATTTGTAAAGAAGTAAAAACTTTTAACATGAAGAAAACTTTTTTTTAGTTTAAACGTTGTTTCTAGTTTGCATTGCAACTTTTTTGTTCATTAGATTTCGCGGTTTTTTTATTTATAAAATTCGCGGGTTTTTTTTTAACATAACAGAACGAAAATCTCAAACGAAAGCTGTCGCATTTAACAACATTTTTAAAATGCCAAAATCAGATGCAGAAAGATCAAAAGCTTATAGAGCAAGAAACAGACAAGTGCTGTTGGAAAAAGAAAGAAAGAGAAGTTATCAAAGGAGACAGTTATTAACACCAAGAAAATAAAACAAGCAAAAAAATCAAGCGAAAGTTCGTAACCGAAGGTTAAGAATGAAAAAAAAACTTGAATTTACTGCTAACACTAGTTTGAATGTTACGCCTGGTAGTTCTTATAACTGCAAATCGTCAATGACAAAAGCATTAAACAAGTATTTAATTATGTTAAACTATATTTTTTAATGTTATTGCTTTCGCATAATTTGGGTTTTTTTATATTAAATAAAATTTTTAGAACAAAACGGGCTCTTCCAAAGTCTCCAAATAAAAGACGAACTATTGTAGAGCAGTTAGGTGCTGAGTATGGCTTATGCACTACTGAAGAAATCAAGCGAGTTCGCATCACATCAGAAGAAATTGAAAAAGTAAAAGCATTTTATGAAAGAGAAGATATATCAATAATGTCTCCTGGAAGAAAAGATTATATTAAAATTGACGGAGAAAAAGTTCAAAGGCGCTATTTAGTTATGAATTTAAAGGAGCTGTACCAATTGTATTGTGAAGAGGGTGCCAGCAAAAATGTTTAACTAACTAAATTTTGTGAACTAAGGCCAAGATACATGCAAAAACGCACCACTTGAATCATGTGGTTGTGTTTATCACAGTAATTTTACGTATTTGTGTGCTGCTTTGGCAAGTAAAATACATTTTCCATTGTATTGTAATAAATGGTTAGAAAAATATGTATTGTGTAAGCCACCTACGTCCCAATGTTGGATTATGAAATGTTCGTTATGTAGTGATTGTAGATTATTTAAAGTTTCTTTGCCAGAAAACGGAGACATGAATACATTTATCACCTATAGTTGGTGGATAAAAGATGATCATCGCTGTGTACTCAGTGAACATAAAAAAAACATAACAGACGTCTATAAACACTTTTGCAACTATTTACCAGAGTTTATTGAGCATCATCTCACTAAAAAGCACCAGTCTGAGCAATACTGTAGTCAAAAGGAAAATCTCAAACCAGACTAAATTTTGATACACTTTGATTATTCACAAAACTATGTATGTGGTTATCAGGATGCTGTTCAAGCTGCTTATTGGTAGCAGTCTAGTATTACTTTGTTTACAGTTGTTATCTATCGTTACCAATTAGAGCCAAAATCAGTTGTAATAATATCCGATGATAATAATAAAACAAAGCGCTCCACTACTACTTACTTAAGTGAAATATTTGACCTCTATTGCATTGATTATATAAAAAAAGTTATATTATGGAGCGATGGCCCTTGCACTCAATTCAAAAATCGTTACATGGCCAAATTCATACAACATTGCTCTGTGAAATATCATTTTCAATCTATAGAGTGGAATTTTTTCGCTACCTTTCACGGTAAAGGAGCAGTTGATGGTGTAGGAGGATCGTTGAAGAGATTTGTTTGGAACAGAGTAGAATCTCGTGAAGTTATAGTTTTAAACGCTAAAGACTTCCTTTTAGCATCAAATGGGAGCAAAACTTATGTTAGACTAATCAACGCAGATGACATTAATCTAAGGTGGGCCATTATAGCTGATCAAATTGAAGAAGCAAAAGCCGTTAAAAATATTACCAAAATGCATTTTTGGCAAGTCAAAAATGGAAAGTTTTTGATTTCAAAGTTGTCGAATATTTTTCACGGGTTTTAACAATTTTAAAATTAATATTTTTTCTTTACTGAAAGAACTATTTTATAAGCTTATGTTGGGACCAGGGAGCATTAAGAGCATAAACCATTAAAAATTTAGTAAAGTAATAAAGTATAAATAAATATTTGGTTTTGGTTGCCTATTCCAAATTATACGAACCCAGTATCAAAAAACCATAACTGAGAACTTCGATAATGTTATAAAATTCATACTTTTGCATAGTTTTTATAAGTTTACATGGTTTTTATAATTATTCTTTTTTTTTTTTTGATTGCGTTGTTATATTTGTTGTTTTTTAAAATTAGATTTTTTGTTACGACCGTCACGGTTACGACCGTCACGACATAAAAAATACAGAAATGTTTGTAAAAGTTTAAGTAAAAATTATGAAACTCTGCATATAATAACATCAATATGTGCTAAATGCACACAGCAAATGATTTTTATTTTTACCATGTTGTTCGCTGCATTTAGTCTGGCGGAGTTGTTTTGTTTAGAAGCGATAAAAAGTAAGCGTTACAATCGTCACGCTTCGCCGAGTTAATTTTTGAAAAGGTTTAAGACTTCAATACTGCAACTTTTGCTTACTAAATTATATAATAGTATTCCACATTTCTGGAAAGTTTCAAGTTGTCTCCATTTTTGGTTCATTTTTAATAGCTTAAAGAACGTCAGATGTTACGACCGCCACTCTCGCGGAATTGCCCATATATATATATATATATATGTATATATATATATATATATATATATATATATATATATATATATATATATATATATATATATATATATATATATATAATATATATATATATATATATATATATAAAGCATACAGTTTTCACAAAACTCAAATTAAATGCACCATACATTTAACAAACAATTGAACAATAAAGTTGTAAAATAAAAACTTAAAAATTTACATCTTAAAATTTAAAAGTTAAAAATCTAACAAAAATAATCTTCCAATAAATTATAGCCATAATGTTAAATGGTTAGTGTATTCATTTGACCTAAAAATAAAAAAGTATATATTTTTTAATTTATAGTGTTATGTAACACTCATAAATGACATATAATTTTTTTGTATAAAAAATAAATAAAGAAATAAGTTACTTGTAAAGCTACAAATAATAAATCCACACAAGCCGAATTTAAAAGTTTAGTAAAACTATGATGACTTGTTTTAATTTAAAAAAGTTTCTCGTGTCAGAATCCAATTAATAGAAATAAAAATTGTATCTGGTTTTTTTTCAAATGGTTTCATTTAAAAAAACATTTTGTATATTAAAAACATTTTGTATATTAAAAATTTTGTCATGGTGAGTTTAATCCAGACAAAAATAGATAAAACATAAACATCTGAATGCAAATTTCAAGAAAAAGATAAGTTATAGTTAAAACAATAAAAACAACTTTTACTTTTTTTAGCTTTTGTTTTTATTTTCAACTCCATTATTGCAAAGTCGCAAATATCAAAATGCTTTATTAAAACAATAGTTAAAGAGCCATGAACTAGTGGATGAAATTATTTCATAGTCTAAACATTGTGTATCATGATTTTAAACTTGCAAATACTGAAATATTTACAGATTTAAATTTATGATGCACAATCTTTATGCTATGAAAATGATTTAAACAGTAATGTAAATTTCATATATAATATAAATAACTTTCTTTATTAAAAACAAAATAAATTTGTCAATGAATGGCATAAAGTGCTAATATAGTACATAAGTACTATATTAAAAATACAATAACATAAACAGATAACATAAATATAGTATTATATAGTACTTAAGTACTATATTAAAAACTATATAAAAAATATAGAATATAACTATATATAAAAATATTTTATTATGTTTTTAATATAGTACATAAGTACTATATTAAAAACACAATAACATAAACAAAATAACATAAAGTACTTAAACACAATAGTACTCAAACAAATTTTCTGTTGCTAAACCAAACCAAATACAAAACCAAATAACCAAAACCAAATATACCTAAAAAACTAATTAAACCAAATAAAAGAAAGAATACTGCAACAAATTGTTGTTTTCTTTTTTAACATGATTTTTAACAAGCCTTTTGATTTTATAAACTTGAAAGTTGCTATTTGTTTATTAGAATAAAAAGCTTGTACATTAAAAATTAAATAAAATGGACTTTTAACAGAGCATCAAATTAAAGTACTTATATTCATAAAAAATTTAACTTTTTCAACAATAAAAATAAAATTATCATGCTTAAAAACATAACTAACACATAAATCTTACATTTACATTACTGAGGATTAATTAAGTATGGATTTTACAAAAATTGAGTGTATATTTAAAAAATAAAAACACCAACTTACCGGCTCAATTATGATGGGACCTTACCGAGGATATGGAAGCGATAATAATCCAAAATAAGTTTAAAAAAATTATCGAACCATTTAAATGAGCCGATAAAAAAAAATGAACTAATAAGGAGTTGAGTAAAGTAGTTGGTGGTTGGGTAAGTCGGTAATAGTTCTTACATACATACATACATACATACATACATACATACATACATACATACATACATACATACATACATACATACATAGGCTGTTTGCAAATAGGCAAGCAGTTTAGAAACAAAAAGTTAAATCATAAAGTTCTTAAAAAAAAATCTAATCAGATTTCTGATAATTTTTTTGAAATTATAACAATAATCAGACATTAGATTTCTGGGTGTTGTAAACTGCTTTTTATGAGAAGAAAAACATTTTTAATTTTAAGGTGAAACGTACCAATGCAATGCACCTTCTAAATGCTTGACAAAAAGTAGGGGATGTTTTATGGAAGATGCGGACAAGTAAGACTTCTTTATTTTATTAGTGGCATTTGATATTTTACCAGAGCAAAATATAAATTTTAATTTTTTATGCTTTTTATTTTTGCAGCAGGTATATATATATATATATATATATATATATATATATATATATATATATATATATATATATATATATATATATATATATATATATATATCTTTATATATATATATATATATATATATATATATCTTTATATATATATATATATATATATATATATATATATATATATATATATATATATATATATATATATATATATATATATATATATCTTTATATATATATATATATATATATATATATATATATATATATATATATATATATATATATATATATATATATATATATATAATATATATATATATATATTTATATATATATATATATATATATATATATATATATATATATATATATATATATATATATATATATTATACATAAAGTATATATATATATATATATATACTTTATGTATATATATATATGTATATATATATATCTTTATATATATATATATATATATATATATATATACATATATATATATATAAAATATATATATATATATATATCAGGCATGGTCAGAAAGGAATGCGATTTCATGACTTTTTATAACCACGTGAAAAATATTTTGTTTTGACGATTTGACCGCAGTTTTAACATTTTATTAAAGCGACGAAAACTTCACTTAGTTATAAAGAAACTAAACAAGCAAACTTATTTTAGAAAAAGAAAAAAATCTTTTTAAAAAAATAATGAAAAATAAAATAAAAATAGCTTAGTAATAAATAAATAAAACAAAAATAAAAAAAAATAAAAAACAAGACTTAACTAAAATAAATAATAAACAATAAGATCAATATGTTTGAAACAAATAACTTTAAATCTTTACTAATGTTTTTATAATGTAATTCTAGTATGTCCCGTCTGCTTTGTTACCATATAAAATTATATTATCAGTAAAAAAAAAAAAAAAGGACTAATCAACAAAAAAATTTAAATAAACAAAAATGTAAATAACTTTTGTTTTAATAAAAAAATAAATTGTGATTTAGTGGTATTTTTAAAAAAAACTTAACAAGGTAACTATTTTTAATGACGCTTTTTTTTTTATGGGGGGGGGGGGTAGGGGACGCAATTCACAAAAATGACAACTAACTTTTAAACAAAAAAAACATGTTTTTTCTTTATTATATTGGCGTAGCAAAACCCTTTTAAACAAAGTAACAATTTCCAACAATTTTTTGATAAATACACACATTTAACAGATAACAACGAAAAAAAACTTTGCAATTCTTCGTAGTAATGTAAACAAAAGAAAAATAATTAAATCTTTTCTTTTTTCATTAATCCAATATCAGAAAGCAAATGAGGAGAAGTGAAGATAAAACAAAAAATAATGAACAAAACTCCTTTAATCCTTTAATTGATTTAATTTGTTAATAATTTAATTTTTTTTATATTTAAAGACAAAAAAAAAATACATTAATACTTTAATGTAAAGAAAGCATTAGCAGTGAATTGTTACTTTATTTCAAAGTGTTTTAATAATATAAAAACATTTGTAAAGATCAAAGTTTTATTCAAACAGCTTTATTTTTATAATTCTTTAATTTAAAAGTTTGTCTTTTTTTCTTCTTAACAAAAACTTTTTGAGTGTATTAACTTTAAGGACTCTTAAATAAAGTTTATTAAAGAGACAATCGTTGTTTAAAGTTGTCGCTTATAAAATTAAAATAATTAAAAAATAAGATTAATTATAAAAAAATCTTACATATTATTTTATATATTAATTATATAATTTTATATATATTTAAATAATATAAATAAAAATTCATACAACTTTCATCTATACTTTAAATTTAAATGTTAACAGTAACTTACTTTATTTAAAAGCATTTTGCTAATATAAAAACGTTAGTAAAGATAAAAGCTTTTAAGTTTATTTTTGACATGACAAAATTTATTTTTTACGTAATTAAAAATAATTTTTTTCAGCGCATTTTTAAAATGTTAAGAACCCTGGTCAAAATAAAGTATTATTTGCATAGTCATATAATAGTGTGCGATCGCACGCCTTCCTGACCAAGCCTGATATATATATATATATATATATATATATATATATATATATATATATATATATATATATATATATATATATATATATATATATATATAAACTAATTATTTTAATTGTATTTGACAAAATAGAGTGCTCAATTTTCCTAAAAGAACAGAGCAATAAAATAGTAAAAAATCACTTATCAAACTTTTTTTGTTTTACATTTCATCAATTAAGACTCATCAGAAAAACTTTGATGAGCCTGACTTGAGCCTGAATTGATGACACACAGTGTAAAATAAAAAAAGTTTGATAAGCGATTTTCTATTTATATATATATATATATATATATATATATATATATATATATATATATATATATATATATATATATATATATATATATATATATATATATATATATATATATATATATATATTAGGGCAGGCCACAGTCCCACATAAATTTTTCAAAAAATTAATTTTACTAGTGGCCGCATAAAATATTGTTCCTTTTACTATAAAAATCTTTTTTTGTTTTGAAAGTGTTTATATAGCACATCTCTAAGTACTGCCGCATTTCATTTTTAAAGTGAATTTGAAATCTAAATGAAAAACATATCCTCCATTACATCTGTTACGTTATTTAAATTATTCGGGTAAATGCATACAAATAATAGCGTTTTTTTTTGTAAACAAACTGAATATGCGCTATTTTTATAATGTGAAATATTTAATTCAGACTTGATATGCTTATGCAAAAAGTACTAAGAGTGAAGCAAATAATACTTTTTTTTCAATTTAACAGTTTAAGTATCTTTCTAATAAGATATTTATATTTTAATCCTTTTCATGTAAAACAAAACAAAGCAAAAATCTTTTGTTCTGATATTTATAGATTTTTATTTTGCAACACAATAACTTTATTTAGTGGTTTACAATAAATAGGCACCTCTAAGAGTTGTGTTATTCGTTGAATTGTGTTCAAAGATATGTGTAATTTGATTAAAACTCATTATATTTATATTATGTTTATTTTTTTACAAATTGTAGGTCTATATGTTTACATAATGTTTTTCAATAAGCATATAGTAACAGATTCAACACCGACGTAATGACTATTTATTATTATCAGCCAGGTTATTGTCTAATCGTAATATAGCAAATTTTTAAAATCTAGCACGCCGTTGTTGTTTATCTTATGTTTATGTTATTAACAATAGAATTTAATTAAGTGGTTAATACTATATGTTCATCTTGTTTTCAATTCCAGTTTATATGTAATATAAAAAAAATATTTGATAAAGAAAATGTCACTAAATAAACCAAAGAAAAATGACATTAAATCAAAAAAATTAAAAAAGTCGGTTAAAAAGAATTACTTGAAAGTATTGAAGTCAACAAACAAAATATGGTTGGTTGGATATCCTTTGGAAGATTTAAAAAGAAGCTCTTTGCCCACTACCAGAAATGTTTATAAATTTTTAAGGTTAGGCGTAATACCATATTAAGACTGAAGTTATAATTTTATGTTTTTGAAAGTTTTTTTAAAGGTTTAAATTATTTTCATCTTCCATTTCAAGGTATCACATGTAAGTTATTGATTGCAATGCCTCCATAACTTTAGTAAACTCTTCTTATGAAGAGTTAACTAAAGTTAGGGAGGCATTGTAAACTTAAAGCAACATTTCGAAATCTAGGTTAGCTGCATTGCTTACTATTGAATCAAGCTCTCTTGGGATAAGGCTGGCATTCTTTATAAACAAGACAAGTACAGTATTGAAAATATTAATTTTAAGGCTACATGACTAATGGAAGTTGCTTATATGAAGTAGAGCTTGGGGTAAATAACATTTTTTAGTTATCGAATGAATAAGAATCTATTTTTTTTTTTTTAATATTTAGTCTAAGTTTATTGTATTTGAACCAGCCAGAAATATTTTTGAGTTCTTTATTCGTAATAGTAAAAAGTTTAATAATATTATTATCAAAAAAATAATAAATTAGTATCATCTGCAATCATTATACTTAAAAGATTAGAAGCTTTATGCAAATCATTAATGTAGATTAAATAAAAAGTTGTCCCGTTGATCCTTGCAGAACACCAAATGAAATTTCTAAAACATTTTTTTTTTCTTTGATTTTTAAAAGAAATTAGATTTAAAAGAAAATGGGTTGGCAAAAGAAACAAATTGTCTTCGGTTTGTCAGATAAATTTTAAACTTTTTTTAAATTATGCTATTCACTCCATATATTTAAGTAGGAATCAAAATGCCATTTACAGTATCAAATGCTTTTGATAAATCTGATAAAAATACTTAAAGTAAATTTTTGAAAGAAATAGAGATTTAACGGACAAATTGAATGATAGTATGCTTATTAGAACTACTTTTTTTAAAACCAAACTGATTTTTTAAAAAAAGTTCTTCTCCTTAAAATAAGTATATAATTATTATAACTAATTTTTTATTTTTCTTGTTGTATTGACCCTTTAAAAACTTTCAAAAGAACATCTTTTAATTGTTCAAAGCATTCTAACACTATGCTTTGTTTATTTCATCAGCTCCAGGGTTTTTTTTTTTTTATCATTTATCATGCTCATTACTCAGTATCTTTGAATGGTGCTTTTCTCTTTTAGACAAGGTGCAAAAGCTTATTGTAAACATAGTTGGGCATGCCCTTCCAGCCAATTTCTCACAATTATCAAATCATCTAATGAATACTGCTCTTAAGAGGCAGTGTCTCTTGTCCCATCTACTAAAATTTATTTTTATGTTACTCGTCATTTAGTTAAGTCTCATTCTTTTACTGTGGCTGTTTCAAAATGTTCCAAAAATTTTTATCTGTCTAGTTTTTTCCTCAAACATCTGCTCTTTAGAATTCGCTCCCTTCTTTTTGATTTTCTTATTTATATAATTTTCAATGTTTTAAATCGCCTTTTAATCGTTATCTTACTCTTTCAGCTTCATCTTTTCTCTTCCAGTAACTTCCAACTCTTATAGTGGTTGCTTGCAGCTTTGTTGAAAACGATGATGTTAAATATGTGTGTATATATATATATATATATATATATATATATATATATATATATATATATGTATATGTACATATATATACATATACATATATATGTGTATGTATATATATATATATATATATTTATATATATATATTCGTATATACACTTCCGTCCATAAATATTTGAATGGTCATACTTTTCAAAGTTATCAAGGTTTTACTTGCTGTTGGGAGAGAAACTTTGAACAAAAATTACCTGAAATATATTACATTTACTATTTATTAAGTTTACATAGAAAAAATGATTGGGAAGGCCAGATCATTCTTTTCAATATTTGATCATTCTCTAACTCATTCCAATAGTTATATTAATATATATATATTATATATATATATATATATATATATATATATATATATATATATATATATATATATATATATATATATATATATATATATTATTATTATTATTATTATTATATCTAACCTTAAGTTTTGTTGAATTTTAGTGCTAGCTAAATTTTTTTCAATTTTTAATTTTATTATTTATGGCTATTCTACAAACTACTTGGTGCGCATCCACAGAAAAATGGTTAGCTGTTTAGAATAGTTTTTTTCTGCCCAGAGTCGAACAGTTTTATTTTTAATTATTTGAAGTATTCTATTTATTGTAATGTAAAGAAAATATATTAAAAACTCTGCTTATATAAAATATGTAGCAATATCCTTATAAAAACCCTTATATTTTGTTACAAAATACATTTTAGCGCTTCTTATACTTGGGGCAGTTTGGTGCCCTATTGTTTAATAACCCTATAATTTTTGTAATCCTATTATTTTAGGCACATATTTTTGTCTATAGAAATAAAGTTTGTTATGTTATGAAAACTAATTGTATTAAAATAAAACAATACTATTTTATTAAAATAATAAGTAATCTATTGAATAACAATGGGGTTATTAATTAATCTTTAATATCCGAAGATGTAAAAATGCATGTCAAAGGTGGTTCTGTTATATTGTTCTCTAGTCAATCTCCAATCAATCAAATCTCCAATCAAGCTAAAAAGATTTTTAGCATCAATGTTAATATCAGGTGTTCTTCGATGTTTATGGCTATAAACACAAGTATTAGTTTGCTGCTGATATTTTTCATAAAGCTTAAGAATAATTCCTACAGCTTGAACTCTTTGTACTTTATTCTCACTGCATATCATAGCTTGTAAAATAACTTCTGAATGCGCATACCAAGCTGATCTTTCAATTGTGAGCATTACAATATCAAGAACTGGTTTCCTCTGGCTTCTGAGGAGTTCTAATTGGTATAAAACGTGTCTTGGTCCCTCAATGCAACATTATTTAACTTTTATGTAAAACCAGTTTGGAATATAAACACTAACAATGAACTCGACAATTCATGTAAGATTTTAAAGGTTGAAACCATATAGACCATGCTTAGAAACCCATATCCTTCAAAATCCTAATGTTGTTGTGAGCCACCTGCTATGGCAAACAGGTCCTATTTGTAGCATTGCTAACTGCTGAGGTATATCACTAGATCTTATTGCTTTTGATATTCTGTAAGCATAGCTTTGATCAGTTCTTAAACCTTTTATTACTTCACGGATAAAAACAATTAATGCGGACTCAACATCAATTTTTGTAAATCTGGGATTAATTTCAAGATTTGTTGCTGTATTTAACATCTTTCCTAGCTCTTAGTTGTATTCCTCAATTTCTTTCCACCAACCAGTTAACGAAGTGGTCTGCAATTACCTCAGCATGTTTTCTGTGATAAGTTTTATCAGGAACAAAATGAAATAGATATCTACCACCTGATTCATTAACTTCAAAATAATGTGCTTCCTTAAGAAGACCAGGGAAATACCTACCATCAAATTCTGTTAATACTTTTGTATTATATTTCCTGTCATCGAAAAAAATACAGGAAACCTCATTATTTTCAAGATCTTTATTAAATTTATCGTCTAATTTGATTGCTAACTTCTCTTGCGCCCTTTTAACCTTCCTCTTATTAATAATCATCAATGTATCATTCTTTGTTATAATATTTACATCAATGCTGCTGTCGCTATTTCTGCAGTTTCACGTAAGCTAGTGTGATGCCTCATACCAGCTAGTGCAATGTTTGTTATGTCCATTTTGTTATAAAGTTTTACAATATAATTGGAAAGTTCTGGTTCTCTAGAAATATTTGGTTTTGAGTCAACTTCATTACTTTTTTTTAATCTAAAAATAAATAAATATAAGAATTAAACTTTTTGTTACTATCATTAAGTTAATGGTTTATAAAAAATCTAAAAAGTAAAAAAAAAAATATTGAGATATTTTTATAAATCACTAGATCATCATTTAATTTCTTCAAAAATAGTTATATTAGAATTATTTACTAATAAACATATTTTATTATTACTTGATTAATCTGTGCAAAGCAATTATAATCTTCTGGAATCCTTTGGTTGAGTTTTTCTTCTTTTTTAAAATTTTTAACTCTAATTGCTGCTGATTCTCTTTTTTCTTTACAACTTATTTTACTTTTTTTGATTTTATTGTGTTAACTCCACCAAAATTGTAATGTACAAAAGTGCAAACTTTGTCTGTCAATAAGCTAGTAGTCTTTAAACTAGTAATCTTGTGTTTAAATGTTTTATAAAATTTCACTTCTTTTGAGACCCAACATGATATGCTTTTAAAGAACTTTTTTTTTCAATATTTGATAAAGCTGAGTTCTATAAGAGGAATTTATATGTACACACATACATTTAATATGCTTTTTACAGTCTTTTCACATACATTTAATATATGCCTGTACAGTCTTGATCAGAGCCATACTTTTAACAAAATATTATTAAACATATACAGGGTAAAATATCAACATGTGTGTCGATTTTTAGAATTAAGCTATCCTTTATTGATTTTTTTGCATTTCGAAAGCTTTAACTGCTTCCCATAGATACTTCAATTTAGCTTTAATTACTTTAATTACTTTTTGCGATGTAAAAACTTGCAATTTGCTTTTTTCCATTATTTTCCAGATAAATCTAGAGTCATATCATTAACTATTTTATCAACAGTTTAGTTTCTTTTATTAAGGTCACTGGTCTCTCTCAAAAATATTCTATATCATAAGATGTTCCTTGCAGTAGGGAGCTCACATGATAAAAGGGTTTTCCTTTTCCAACATATTTCTTTCTTGCTTCAGTGAGTCGCTGATAAATTTCTCTCTCTCTCTCTTTATTTATATATATATATATATATATATATATATATATATATATATATATATATATATATATATATATATATATATATATATATATATATATATATATATATATATATATATATATATATATATATATATATATATATATATATATATATATATATATATATATATATATATATATATATATATATATATATATATATATATATATATATATATATATATATATATATATATATATATATATATATATATATATATATATATATATATGTTGATGTATTGATGTAATTATTTTAATTTTTTTAACTACTTTAAAACCTATTGGGTTTTTGTTTTTGTTTTTTCTTATCCTGAGATTTTGTTATTGTATTTTAATGTTCTTTTTAAACTAAAATAAAAAATAAATTAAAATAGATTTTATAATAGATTTTTGTAATAATGTAATTAATTTTTATTTATAAAAAACACATTTTTAATGATTTTTGTAATATAAGTGAAGTTAATGTTCGAAACATGTATATCAAACATTTTAAAAGTGTTAATAATTTTATTCAAATATATATATATATATATATATATATATATATATATATATATATATATATATATATATATATATATATATATATATATATATATTAGGTTCAGGTAACATTTAAGTTATAAAACTAAATAAAACATGTTTAGATTTAAAAAAATTATTTTTAGGTCAATTAGACCTGGTTTTTCTAACTGCAGTATGGCGATTTTTAAAGAAAAAAAGTATCGCTGTCTTTTAAATATTCCTTCTGAAGTAAGTTATTATTTCATAAATGATATGTTTTATTATTTGTTTTCCATTTTATTGCCTTGTCATTGGAAATAAAATTTTCAAGTCTAGTTAAATAAAAATACATATTTAGTAATATATTAAATAGCTGCTTTTAATATGAAAGTAATTTATTGGCAAAGGTGTTGTAGTTGTTTATTATTTTACGAATTTTTTTATTTATTTATTATTACTGCTTTTATTTATTATTTATTGCTATTTTTAATTATTGTTTTAATATAATATTGTAACACTTATAACAGTATTTTATAACTTTACTATTAATAGTGTGTATTTGATTCAATGTAATTATGTTTTGTTATTTTAATGTAATATATGTTTTATGTATATCATGTATTCATATTTGTAAATTTTTATTACATGAATTTATTAATTTTAAAACATTTTTATCCACCCCAAGCCTATAAACCCCCCTCACCCTCAATTGTTAATTTTTACTTGTATTAAAAAAAAAACATTAAACTAGTAATCAGCGTAATCAGGCTTGAAAAAATCACTTAATTTTTAATTTGTCAAAAAAAAGATTTTTGTTTATTTCTCACCATATTATAAAACTTATATAAACATTTAAATCCTATTGAAATTATAAGGAAATGGCTGTCAAAAATAACCATTTGACTGCAAGCCACAATAGAAATAAAAGATTTTATTTGTTTAAAATTTCCACCTACCCATTTATAACCCCCCTAATCTCCTGTTTATTTGATCTTGACTAAAATTCCCACCACCCCTCACACACCCCTCTTTCATTTTTGTATTAAGCACACAAGAGTAAACACATTTATAACAGAAACTTTCACATAGATGACAAATGCATGACAAACTTCAAGTTGTTTTTAGAAATTTCAGTTTCAAAAAATTCCAAACCTTCTGCTAATTAATACTTACATCTGTTATTGGGCCGGTGAGATGAGTTGTTTTAACTAAAAGTGATTAAGATTTTAAAACAAGAAGAAATAATAGTAAAATGCAAAATAATTGTATTTATTATATTTTTTATTAAATATATTTCAATATTGATTAATATAAATAAATAATTTAATAAAATAGGTTTTAACTGAGTTTTTACAACTTTTTTTAATACAAATTAAAAATTAATCTGGAGGTTTACCTGATTTATGTAACCTGATGTGATACTACAGTTGTCGTTATTAATGCAGCAGTTGTTTGGTGTTGTTAAGTAGAGATTATATATGTCATGTACCCAATGTTAAAGAAATCACAGCTTCTGTTAAACACTTGTTTCAAAAAAAACAACAACATATAATTGATTTTGAACAAAACAATTTGCATAAATTAAGATTTTTTAAAAGTTTGTTAAAAATCCATACATTTATACTTTGTTTTTGTCACGCTTTCTTTAATTGTGTGAGTTAGTAAAGAGAAATTTGGTCACAAACAAAAATTTATTTTTAATTTTGTTGCATAGCTATGCAATAATGTTTTGTAAAACGTTTTTTAATTTTAAATAAGTTGTGTTTATAGCTTTTTTTGTTAAAATACATAAAATGCAATTTATTTGTTTGTTTGTTTGTTTATGTACATAAAATACTTGAACTGTAGAATTTGATACAAATGTATACAAAAGTACTTGTATACTGCACTCCTTTTTATTTTACATTATAATGTATTACAAACGTTATAAAACACTGCACCCATTTTTACTTGATCTTTTAATTCTCTTTTATCTCCAAAATAATATATTTAGTAATAAACAACAGTTTTGAAAAGACATAAAAACTTTCTCCTTCAGTAAGTATTGCAACCAAAGGTAAATTTTTATGAACTATTTAACTCATTATAGACTTGTTATAGACTTGGTTAAACTCAAATTGTTATAGGCTTGGTTAAACAAGAAAGTACTTATAAAAAAAATCAAGATAATAATATTTCATTTACAACAATGGAGGCTATACTGAGAAATATAACCATTATGAGATAGTAACGAAAAGAAATATAATTGAAACATTTGTATTGAGCAATTCTAAGAGATGATAAAAAAATCAACATGAAACCACAAAAAGTAGAGCATATCACCTAAAAAAATTAATAGGAAACATTATTTGACTCACATTAATCAGAAATCTTCATAAAGCAGGATTTAGTGGATGCATAACTTGTAAAAGACCATTTTTAACAAAATAGTTGTTATTTATTGCAAGTATTATTATGGAAAAAAATTTAGTCGTATGAATCCAACTTAATTAAATTTGATGGTGCATTAAGAGTTTGATAAAAAGGGGGGCAAAGTTTTTCACTTTAGTAGCATAAGAGGAACAGTTAAACATGGTATGTAAATTTTCTTTTTTTTTTTTTTATCATACTTTTTTGCTTCCAACAAGGTGAAGATTGTTTTCCAAAAAGGAGAAGATTGTATACCAGCCTGCTTTCCAGCAGGCCGGAAAACAAGACTTTGTTAAGCACTTGTTAAATAGTTCCGGAGAACACTTCTGCAAGACTATAACAGGTATGTTTTCCGGACCACAAGCTTTAGAAGTATCTAAGCAGAAATTCACTTTAGATACAGAAGCTGGAATGATACAAATGTCAAGCAATGGATCTACCTGTGCGTCGGCTAAATCAGATAAAATGCATCTAGTGGAATCAAGAGATGATATTGATGAAAAGTTCTTAACAAACAATTCAGCTTTGTCTTTAGGTGAGGTGACAAAGTCCAAGCCAAACATACAAGATAAAGTGACACAGTGACACAGTACAGTGACAAAATACAGTGACAAAATACAGTGACAAAGTCTAAGCATATGTACAAGAGAGATGGAATTACAAATTTGCCTATATTATTGGTACTATTAAAAATTCTCAAGAATTCAGGATAGCCTAATTTTTGTGATGAAATACGAGATTTCATGACCTGAGAATAGTGGGTTTTGGTATTAGACAAAACCTTTTTACAATGGTTTTTAGCAGTAACAAACGGTAGTCTGTTTTCTGGAAAATATGGAAGTAGCGGTTTCGATTGGAAATTGTAGCAGCACAATTTTCAATCGAAACCGTTAATTCCATATTTTCCAGAAAACAGACTACTGTTTATATATGTGAGGAAAATCATGGGAATAGAAAAGGAATAAAAGATTCCATGCCAGACTGAATCCAGGAAGTTATATAAAAAGCACATTTGTCAGCAGGAAGACAAAGGATTTCTATCCAAGGGCCATCACAAAGAAAATTACGGAAAGAGTCCCAGTCAGCTTTAAGGTAGTTGTAAGAGGTATGATAATAGGGAGATTCAGATAATAATGAAGAATGAGATAATAGTTTTAGAGAGATCAAACCATAAATCTCTGTCCTCAGAACCATAAAACTGAGTTTTAGAGCTGTACCCTCATTAGGAGATAATCGAATGTGTTGCCTAGTCATAAAAACAGAGACACAAGCAAAACCCATGCATTGAGTCAAGAAGAGCCAGCATTCAACATTCTAAACTGGGAACAATGTATTAAAAATGCATCTGTGCCAGACTAATAGATGAAGGAGGGGTGCGAGGCTGGTCAACAGATAGAATCTATTTATCCCTTAAAGTGTAATGCTATGGGGTTGCATGTTATGGAATAGCGTTAGTAAATTTGAATTTGTCGATCAAACTATAAATGCTAATTTGTATTAAGTCACTTTAAACCGAAATTTAAAATCTCAGGGTGAAAGTTAGATTAGGAAACAATTTTTTATTTCAACTAGACAATGACACATTTAAAATGACATAAAGATTTTAGAGTGGCCTTTACAGAGCCCTGATTTTAATCCAATGAAGCATTTATGGACTTTATTAGATAAAAAAATATATTACAGGTCATTTACAAAAAAAGAAGATTTGAAGAAAGCATAAATCATGGTCTAACATTGACAATAGTCAAATCAAATAGATCTTGTAGAACCAATGCCATAATTTTTGCTAGATGTAAATAAAGCAAAATAAGGATCATCTAAATACTAAAGCTTCTTAATAAAATATATTTATTTGTCAGTTTTTTAAATAAACTAGGTTGTTTTTTTTAAGTTTAACTAAAAATTTCTTGTTCAATTATTTTATGTGCAAGTAGTTTTAGCCAATACTTTTAGTTTTAAATTCCTTATCAGGAGATTTGAAAATGTAAACAAAATTTTAAAACAAAAAGTTTAAGTTTTTTTACCAAATGAAAAATCTGAAAAAAAATTTTTTTGTAATTAGGGCATAATTTAATATTTTATTCAAAGATAAAGTTAATTTTGTTAAGAAATTACTGTGCACAATTAAATTTTTTTTTCAAGGTGTGTGTGTGTCTGACATATATTTATCCTTATCTCGTAATCGGAAGAGACTTTTAGTAAAAAAAGTCTCTTTTAACAACAATTAAGCGACTTCAACAATGAAGCTACATTTTAATGTCGTCGAAAAGTTAAAATTGTTGAACCTGTCATTTTGAAAAGGACACAAGTTCAAAGCATTTAACAGTTAGTTTATAAATTTAAATTAAAAATAACTGTATGATTTATGTTTTTTTTATAAAAAATGAAACTTACATAAGTTATATACATTCTTTATTTATCTACTTCTATTTTTAATTTCTTTAGCAGTGTAGACACAGTTGGCCAGAATTCACTTTTAATGGACAAAATTAATAACTAACTAAATATTAGGTCTTTATTTACTAAATTTGGCATGAGTACTAATATAAGATATGCGCTTCTTATGAAAATGGTATTTTTATATTTGGTTGCTATGGATACCTAATTTTGCTTAGCAAAAACCTATTTTTGGTAGCTGCTGATGTTTTATGTGTGTTATAGACATTAAAACTACCATTAAATTGAGGTTTGCATTAATATGAAGCTTTTAATGAGGGAGATATTTATCAATTGGTTGCTATGGATACCTAATTTTGCTTAGCAAAAACCTATTTTTGGTAGCTGCTGATGTTTTATGTGTGTTATAGACATTAAAACTACCATTAAATTGAGGTTTGCATTAATATGAAGCTTTTAATGAGGGAGATATTTATCAATTGGTTGCTATGGTTACCTAGTTATATGCACCTAATTTACATAGCAACAACTTATTTTGATAGTTGCAGATTATTTATGATTGTTATATTCACTTAATTCGACACTTTTTTAGTTTAGTTGCTTTGAATATTGCTTAACAACCAGATACTTTCCTTAGTTACACACAGATAAATGGATTTTCGAATAAATTTTTATCAGATTTTCAATTGTCCTATTTTAATTATATATTAAATATTAAATATTTAGGTAAATAATTTTAAGTAAAGATTTAGGTCGTTGACAATAAAAACAAAAAATATTGCAATAAAACATTGACAGTTCAAAACACATTGATAATTTATGAAACATACATACATGCATAAAGTAAGAAATCATATTTTGGGTGAATCGACAGTTGGAGCCAGATGCAAATAACTAACTATATCTGAGAGTTGAGATTTTGAATTTTGAGAATTTGACCTCCTCGTGCTGCTGATTATTAGGTCTGATTAGCACAAAAGTCTGCATAATCACAGTTACATCACAGTTAGTTTATAAATGACTGCATTTGCGTGAGCAATTTTTACAGAAACATTTTAAATCTTTTTTTTGTACTTCCTGTGCCTACTCAGAGAGCATGCCAATAGGCAAGACCATTCTCCTCACAACCTCATGTCTGTGTTATAATATTTTGTGCAAACTTTGTGGCATGTAATACCATTGGTAGCTCTGTACAAACAATAGAGCCACCTAAAAGGGGCAATCAATCATGTAATTACAAAAGCTAAGTTAGCCACAGCTCAGTATAGAAATAATATTAACAAATAAACTTTCAAGGCAGTACTTCTAAAATGTATCTGCAGAGCTGAACTGATGACAATGTGGCAAAGATGACATGCTACGTTTTCAGCAGTAGTACATCCCGCTTTAAAGTTTCAGCCACAATACTTTAAATTTGGCACATTTAAATAATGAAATAAAACTTTTATATTATTGCAATATTATTATTATTTATTTATTACAGCTTGAAATGTCATTAGCATCTATAGCTGTAGCTAAGTATTACCTTTTAAATGTTAAAATGTAAAGAAATAGTAATCAATACTGTTGCTATGCAAAAATAATTAAACAAAATTAGGTATCCATAGCAACTAATTAAAATTATGATTCTGTAAGAAGTGTGAATCTTACTTTCATACACATATTCAATATAGTGAACATAGCACAAATAAAAAACTGAAAATATACCCTCAATGCGAAAATAAGTTTTTGCAATGTAAAATTTGGTACCATAACAACCAAATACATCTGTCTACGTCTATAAAACCAAGTTTGTTGGCTTCCTTACATGTTAAAGAACAGTTTATGACTATTCATTTGCTGCCCTACCCACCCCAAACCTAAACCTAACCCATCCCAAACCTTGCGAACCCGCCCCAAAAAAGATGCATTTAATTTGACATATTCAAATAACAAAATTGAACTTTTGTGTTATACCTATTCTAATATTCATTTATTACACCTTAAAATAATATTTTAATATGTCAAAACTTTATAATATGTCAAAACTTTGACTTCGTCCATAGCTGGTCCACTGTGCATTATTTTAATAAAAATAATGTTTTTGTTAATTTAGAAAAGTTTTAATAAATGGACTTCAGCCCTTTTCAAAATAACAGGTTTTAATTATTGTAATTGTCTATATTCGAAATATAAATTTTTTTATTCAATTTATTTATTAGATAAAGTGTAAATAGAAGTTTAACTAAACCTAAAATAATATTTTATTTTTTATGTAGCAAATTGTTAACAAATTTTATATACCCATAAACGATAAAAACATTAAACATTATTATTTTTTAAGGTTCTTCCTGGAATTACTGAAAAAACTCAAAATTCTATTTTAACTCTCACTCCTCCTATAACTGCTCAATACCTAAGGGTGTTACCAAAACAATGGATTGGAGATTATCCATGCTTAAAACTTAAAATCATTGGCTGCAAGTACAAGGAAGGTTGTTAGAATTATTTGTTTTTCCAAATTATAATTCTATAGTTTTGAACAGGTATATAACTATATTACCATATATGTCTTGGGTATGTTTTATATATATATATATATATATATATATATATATATATATATATATATATATATATATATATATATATATATATATATATATATATATATATATATATATATATATATAATATATATGTGTATATATATATGTATGTATATATGTATGTATGTATGTATGTATGTATATAGTTCTATAAATTGTTGTCTTAGAGAGTACGGGAGGTAATATATGATTCTTTTGACAACAAAATACTTTTGTATTTTGTTGTCAAAAAAATACTTTTGTATTTTATTTTATTACTTTTGTTTTTCATTCAATATTTCAGTATTGTGATTAAGTTAAAACCATTAATTTAATCACTTTTTTAAAAAACCGCAAAAACGCAAATTTAATTGATCAGAATGTTTTTAAAAACATTCTGAATGTTTTTATTTTTATTTTTTAAATTTTTTTTTTATTAATTTTTTTTTTTTACTGTAAATCATGGGTGAGTGTTGCTACATCGACTATCTTATAGCCTGACTCGCAACAGACTGCTGCTACATCAACTGACAATTAGCCTGACTTGCAATGGAGTGATGCTACATCAACTGACATATAGCTTGACTCACAACAGAGTGCTGCTACATCAACTGACATTCAACTTGACTTGCAAAGGAGTGCTGCTATATTGACTGGTTTGGTTTGGGCAGGCAGTCAATCAAATAATAAAAGGAAAAAAAAAAAAATTTAATTTAAATTTTTTTTTAATAATTTTATAGTTAAAGTTTTATAATTTGCATTTAAACCACTGCTAAATATGAGATGTGTTTTTAATTTAGTGTGGATGTGAGTTAGGAGTGGATGTTAGGGTAATTGTTTAACACAACCTATTATTAAAACATTTTAAAAAAAAAATTTATATTTAAGGCTTAGCTTAAGCTAAATCGAAATCAATTTAAAGTGTAAATAACTATTTTATTTACACTATATCTCCAAATGCAAAAAATTGAAAACATCTTTTTAACCATTCTGCAGGAGTTTTTTTTTTGTTAACATATTTATATATGACTTAAAAAATGAGGGATCTTCCAACTTTTGAAGTTAAATGAATCCAAAGTTGTTGCAGTTTTTGTGCTGGAAAAACTGATGAATTTTTGAAAAACACCTTGTACTTTACTATGAAATGTGTGAAAAAAAATCAAGCATAAAAATTAAAACAAATGATACGCAAAAATACGCAATAAAATTAAAACAAATGATACATGTAAAAATTTTTAAAAATGATAAAAACAAATATAATATACATAACTTCCTAATAAAATTCCTCAGCAACGTATCTTCAAGAAAGCAAAAAATAAATACTTGATTTGAATAGAGGAAAGGCTATACTTTTTTTCAAAGGAAACCTTTTTAAAAAAGTCTTTTTTTTAATTTTATTAACCAACCTTGAAGTTTTTAAATGCTGAATTTGATGCGTTTTGGTACTTAGGTAATCTTACCTTCAAAAACTAGTTTTGAAAAAACGTTTCCGTTGCAAGTTTTTTTTATCAATAGTGGTCTTGAGACATAATATATAAGAGAAGTCATATTAAACTTAATACTTTCTATTTATAATTGGAAAGAAGTTGAGTAAAATTAATTGATGCAAAAAACCTCAAGGTTCTAGCTTTATTATAAAAAAGTGACATCATAGAGTAAAGTTCATAAAAATTATGTTGTTTTTTTTCAAACGCTAAATATTTATTGTTGCACTGGGGAATCTGTAATTTTGTTGTGCAAAAGACTATATAAGTCATATTTTGAATTGTTAGTCATATATCCGTCATATTTTGAATTTTTAAAAATTCGGAATTCAAAAACGTAAATTCCAGATTTTTCGAATTTAGAATTTCGATTAATTAATTCTTATTTTATCTTTGAAGTTATTTAGAACTTTTATAAAAATTTACTTATAGAAGTTATTTAGAATTTTAAAAAAATTATTTATAAAAGTTATTAAGAATTTTTATAAAAATTTCAAAAAAAACTTTTGTTTTGTTTTTATATTATGTATTTCTTCCGTTCTAAAAATTTTAATTTTTATTACTAAAAACGTTTTTCAACAACAAAGTTGTCATCCTCAGTAGTATAATACAACAGTTTTTAGTAATAAAAATTAAGTTTTTTAAAATGGAATAAATACATAATATAAAAACAAAACAAAAGTTTTTTTTTGAAATTTTTAGCAGACAAAGTAAGTCATTATATTAATTTTATGTTTCAAAAATTTTGTAGACTTACATTGTTATTGTTTTAAATCCCAACCTAAGTATGGTAGATAAATCTGAAGAAACTTTTATAGACATTTCAAAAGAAAGCTCATCAAATTCAGTGTGGAAATATTTTCTACGAGGAAAAACAAATCAGGTGGCAAAATGCATGCAATGCAAGCAAGTTTTAAAGATATTGGGTGGATGTACAACTCTCATGCACACACATCTTTGTTCTAAACACAACACAGTTTTGAACAAGCGAAAGTTTGATGAAAATACAACAGCTTCTACATCTGACAGTAACGATAGTGTTAATAAAAAATAATGTACTTTCTTTTCTTTATATTTTTTAAATTCTTCTATAATAATTCCGGAATTAAACCGGAATTCTGGATTTCATCTCCTGTAATTCCGAAAATCCAGAATTCAGTTTTTTACAAAAAAATGGATTCACTAATATGCATAATGTCTCAAGCATATTGTACAGTGTTTATATTTTACCTTTTTAAAGGTTATTGATTTAATGCACTCTGTATCTCTAAGAAAACACCAGCTTTATTTAAAATAATACTTATCGCTTTCTGCAGAATACTTAATGAAAAACCACTTAGCATAGCCATTCCAATTATACACAATAAAGTTTCTGTTGTTAATGTACTGTTTGATTGTGATTCCTTTATTACCTATTATCCTTTGATTTGCAAAGATTCCAATAATCATGTGCCTGGCCTTGGTATATACTTATTTGTCAACTCACATATTTATTTTAAAATTGGGTTTTAATTTTTTGACTATTCTTTTATGTGCTTCCGTTCTTCACTCAATCACCTTCCTCTTTATTTTTTATCATTTTTCATCTCAAGATTACACTCTTGATGTTATTTCTGATCAAATTGACTGAGCTGAGGTTCTTTATGCCAGTATTGTTCTTATTAGTGACTTTAATGCTCATCACACTGTATCACTAACTTAAAAAACTTAGAAAACTAGTACCTCTAGTAGACTAGCACTAGTAGACTCTTGTACCACTAACTTAGCTGGCACTAAAAATCATACCTTTTTTTCTTTCTCAATCTACTGAGTTAACTTTGTGGCTGGTTTCTCAGACAATCTTCTAAGTTCCTTTACCTTCACTCTTTGATTTGTTATTTTTTTCTCTCCCCTACCCGTATGTTAAATTTTCATGAAAAAAATCCCATTACAAAAATCATGGAATTTCAATTGGTATTACACAAAAGAGCAAGTGATCTCCTACTTCTATATTTTAAATAAGTTTAGCATTGAATAATTTATGGATGATCCCTTATGCTAAAGATGTTTGGGGTCATTTTAGCAAACAGAAAATATCAAGAGAAGGAAGAATCATGGCAAATCTAAATTTAAATTTTCCACTTGGATGAAACAATAAATTTTGTGTTTTTTTTTTCAACCTCAATTTTTTAAAATACAATAATATAAATAAAAAAATTCAAAATAAAACAATTTGTGCAAAAAAGATTTGTAATTATTAGAAAAGTTTTCTTATATTACTCATGATGCTGTATATAACAATATTTAAATGGAGTTTTTACATTTGTGTATAGCACTTTTGTTTATATATATTGTTTATAAATAAGCACAACTTTATTGCTATGCAATAAAGCTGCGCCTATTTAAAGAACCTACTTGAAAAGCATTGCTTAAATTCAATTTGTAGAAGAGTTTAATGTAATTTTTTTTTTTTACTACATTCATAACTTCAATATCTCAGTGGTTTAATGCTCTGTCTACTGTGTTGTTTTGTGAGGGTTCAAATCCTATCTTTTAACACAATACATTTTCAATTCTTTTTAATTTGATCGTATATATATGTAGCAAAAAAAATTAAACAAGTAAAAATGCTTTTAGTTTTTAAAATTAAATTTAAAAGTTTTTGTTAGCTTTGGCTTATTTTTTTTAATTTTTTGTCTTTACAGCAGCGCTTTCTGGAGTAGCTGGACAGGCTTATTAAATGTTTTCTTTAATGAAATTCAGAACGTTTTTTCTTTACATCCACAGCTTCTTAAGACTAATTACCTAAGAACATTAATAATATAAGTATCTCTATGAAGACATTTTTTGCAACAAATTCTTCCAGTGTTTTGATATTTTGAAGTTTGAAATTTGAGGTTTTTTTAAAATTATTTCTCTTTCGTTTGTTGTAGTATTAAATATCTTCATGTATGTTACATATAAAATATATGTAGAACTTTAAAAATGTTTTATTTTGTATTTTAAAATTCAAAAAAGATTATAAAAAAGATTATAAGTCCAAGCGCAAGGATTTGAACCACGACGATGCACTTCAGAAGCGCTACAAGCTAACCATTTTGACAACAAAGACGTATTGTTCAATAAGTATTTTAATACTATTTAGTAAGCAAAAAGCATTATTAAACATTATTAAACAGTGAATAAAAGTTATAATTTAAAGTTAAGGAGATGTTGGTGTGATGCAGTTTTTGAGTAAAAGTAAAATTTTAATATTTGACATTACATAATTTGAAGTTTACATAAGTTAAATATTTGCATACACTTTTGTTCATATTTTATTATTAAAAAAAAAATACTGTGACTCTTTCTCTGCATTACCTCAGTTACAATGTCTGCATAGATTTCTGTGTTAAACACTCACTAATGAGTAACAACAGCTTCAGCATCAAGTTCAGTTTTAAAATTTTATAAGATACTTTATATTTAAAATGTTTTGAATGGAGAATCCTAACGATTGATATCAGTTATATTGTTATTTTTGATTTTAATAAACAATTTATTGAAATTAACTTTAATTAAATGATGTACCATGTTATAAAAGATGAACTTGATTATCAAAAAGAAACTTTGATTATAACATGATTGGTAATGAAAAATAAATTTATAAACATGAAACCTTAAAAAAGATTTAGTGGTTTAATATCAGACAGATTAAAAATCAATAATATCAGACAGATTGCAAATCACATAAGTTTGTTGCATAATTATTATTGTCTGACCAGCTGCAAGCACAAACTAAATAGTGTAAACCTATGGAATAGTTTATCAGAGCAAACCATTAAAGCACAATACCCAACAATTTCAAGAGCAAAATTGAAAATTATCATTTATCTGAGTTGTTTTATAATTAAACGCCAGCAGACATAACAGTATACATCTTACAATCTATATAACACTTTTAAGACAACATAATGAAGTAATAATCATAATAAAGATAAATCAAGCCCAGTAATGTTAGATACTTTTTAACACTATCATAAACCTTTTCCGAGTATTTTCATCATTAAATGTACCTAAACTAATGTACCTGATTTAAAAACATCAATAAAAAGCCTAACTTTTTCTTTTATTTGTTTTTGTGTTTTTTTTTTTTGTTTTTTTTATGAAACAGAAAATTTGTTCTCCGCTAATTTAGCTCGATGGTTGTAGTTTTTTTTCGTTTTTTTTTAAACCAGTTTGTATGATATTTCTAGAATACATTTCATGGCAGTAATACCAGTTAGTAAATGTGTTTGAATAAGAAGGTGTTAAATAAATGGATTGGCTTGAAATTGAAATTTATTTAAAATGTTGTATATTTTTTGATAAATGCTTATTTTATTGATGTAAGTATTGTTAGGGTGCATTGTCTCTCTTGTTTTTGTCTTCATATTAGTAAAATTTTAAATACTTGTTTTTATTTTTGCCTTGATAACTGTCTAAGTATGCTTTGTTCAAAAAAATATTTCTTTTAAAAATGTGTGTGTGAAATGTAAATATTTTTTTTGTTCATAAATTATTTTTTTAAACTAAACTATGCTGTTTAAAAGTATTTGGTGAAAGATGGTTTTGTTAAATATTTTAAGCCAAACAACATGCTTTTATGACCCATCAAGTCTTATCAGTTTCTAAGGTATAATAAAAAGTAAAGAAATGAACTATCTTGTTAAAGATGCCTTATTTAATTAGATGACTACTTTTAAAGTGGTTGACTATTTAGCAAAACTAATTTTATGGTTTATTTTTTTCTGTTAGTCTCCAGTCAAGTCTTAGGATATTGTCTTTTTGTAGATTAACTAGACAAACAGCAATTTGATATAAAAAGTTTTGTAGATTACCAGAAGCTGAGTTAACAGTTATAAATATATTGTTTAACATTTGGCACACATTGCTGTGCTTCTTGCACAATGATGTAAGGAGGATATAGTTTACAGCCTACTTCTTCTTTTTAATTTTTGACCTGAATCATTAAAATTAAGTTTTAGTTTGTAATGAAATTATTTATAATTCATATAAATTATATATATTAATTAAAACAATTAGTATATATAATTTATAAAATTACATATATATATATATATATATATATATATATATATATATATATATATATATATATATATATATATATATATATATATATATATATATATATATATATATATATATATATATATATATATATATATATATATATATATATATATATATATATATATATATATATAATTTATAAAATTACATATATATATATGTATATATATAGCATAATTGCATATATGTACCAGGAGTTAGCTAGTTGTTAATATTTACAATATAATATTGATACTCATAGTTGTTACCACAATCATCAGGCAAGTATTAAATATTTAATTTGCTTTATTTTAATTAAGGTTGTAATGTACCATTGATGAAGAATTTACCGGAGTCTGCATACTCAGCTAGTAGTAGTTATAGCGAAAAATATAGTCCCTCGGGTGTAGTAGAAAAAAGGGATGGTTGGTGTCCATATTATAGAACTAATTGTTGGCTTCAAATTAATTTTGAGGAGGTAATTAATAAAAAGTTATGTATATTATAAATGATGATAAAAATAAATCCTTTTTTTTAGTATTACAAAATCAGAATTTAATTTTCTTTACTTTTTATATTTTAAGTTATTTATTTTATTGTTATAATTATTTAGAAAGTTGAGATAACATCTATTGAAATGCTATTAACCTACTGGAAAACAGCATTGTACTCTTTACAATATTCTGATGATGGATTGTTGTGGTTCAACTATTCAAAAACTGATAAAAAAAACTGATGCTGATGAATAAAAGGTCAGTTTGTTTAATATCCTAAAACATTTTCATTAGAATAAGACAAATGAAAATAAAAATATCAGTAAATTTGTAATTAAAATATCATTATAATAATAATATCAGTAAAATTATAAATTTATAAAATAAAAATATAAGTAAATATCAGTTAGGGAAGTATAGTTATAACTTTTAAAAAAAAAAAAACTGAGAAAAACCCTTCCTTAGTTGAAAAGTCATAAGCTGAAATCAGGCATTTTCGATTTGGGCCTACCTTAAATACATTTATCTCTGAGCATAAATTTTTTCAGCAAGATTTTTTATTGTTTTTTGAAAAAATATCCTGTTGCAATTTTAATGGTTAAAAAAAATTGAGAGGGTATTGCATACAAAAAAACTTATGAGTCATTAAACTGTCAAAAAATGTTTTAACTAGCGTTCACAAATCAGCCATTTTATTAAATGGGCAAGGTCCCAAGATTGAATTTATAGACTTTCTTTTACTTGATAATACCATTATTTAATGCAAAAAAAAAAACTTGTAATATTGCATTATTAATATAGTGTTACGCCAAAATAATGCTAAATCTGTTTGTTTATTTTTTCGTTTATATGATTGTAGTCATGTAAACACTTTTAACATGGTGTTTATTAAGTTATTCAGTTCTGAATTGTTCAGAACAGAGTACTTTAATTTAATGCCAATTTCAGATCAAGGTCATGTGTATCAAACTAAAATGAGTGCTAATGCTACCGAAATAGTTACAGATACAACTTATTTCGATTTTGAGCTTGAGAGATTTTTGAGCTTATATAATTTAAATGCAGGCGTATTTAAAGTACTTTTTTTAGTTAAAATTTCACTTATGTGAAATTTTAACTTAAAAAATACTTTAAATATGCTGTGATTTGAAATTGATTTTAAATGATGGCATACAAGTACATTTGAAATTGATTTTAAATGATGGCATACATGTACAAATATGCCATCATTTTTTCATGCCGTCAATTTATTCGACAATTTATTTACAATTTATTTTACCTTATAAAAATAATAGGGTTTAGAAAAATTGTTTTATAAAAATTGTTAAACTGAATAATAATAGTAATAGTAAAAGCCATGTATTGATAAAATATCATACTATATAGCTGAGCTACTGTTGTTTGTTTTTGTACCTCTTTATCGGTTAAGGTTTTGTGTTTTTTTAATATTTATCTGAGCTGGAAGTTTATGAATCAAAAGCTAAAAATATTAGTTTATAATTTTTAGCCATTAAATTCATTTCTAACAGAACAAAGTTCTCAAGTGCCAGGAAAAGTTTCCTAACTTAAAAAGCAAAAAAAATAAATAAGTTTCCCTTTTAGTTTTTACTTTTTATTTAAAACAAATTTAATATGTATTTCTATAAACTCTGCACTACTAACTTAGATTTTAACAAACTTTACATTCTTAACTCATTATTTAATAAACTTTGCATTATCTAATTAAATTTTTGCACTAAAAAATTTTCTATATTAACAAATTTTATAAGTTTGATTTCATTTTTCTAAAAATATTTTGAAAGCAAAAGCTGATTTAAAAGAAAGTACTTTTTATTTTATTTAATTACGCAATAAAAAGATACATTTTTAAAATTAACAACTATTTTATGGTTATTAAAAATACAAAAAACATTACCTCTTAATATCAAAATTTTGCTTTTTAATCATTTTAGTATTAAACATCACCTTGATTTCTACGAAGAAAATTTAGATAAAGTTCCAGGAAAAATTAGTAACATTCTAAAAAAATTGAGTAAATGATCGAACTAATCTTTTTTTTAAATAAAACTTTATTTTTATTATATAAAAACATTTATATGCTTATTTTTTATTTATTTATGTATTTTTTAATTAAATACTACTAAAGAATTTGGCAAACTACTACTGCGGTTGGCATTTGGCAATGCCAACCTAAAAGTGTTTAGGTCGGGAAAAATCGTTGACTTTGTTTCTATGTTATATGGTAACCCATTTGTATCAAAATATTTTTGCCGAACTGATGCCGACATCTAACAGTTAATAGTCAACAATTTATTGCCAGCCTCATTTTAGGAAAAATGAGGTTGCCAATAAATTCTGTATTTAGATATCAATTCTGGTTTTTTATTTAATAAATATTTTTGCTTTGCATGTGAAATATTTAAAAAAAATTTTGTTGACATAAACATCTTTTGGAAATATATTAAGTTCTAACTGATTTTTATTATATTAGGAGAATAACAAATAAATCTTTTTTTCTTTTTTTTTTTTTTCAGTGTTCAAATAAAAATATTTATATGTTTTTTTTTTATTTATTTATGTATTTTTATATGTCAACCAAAAAAAGAATACACAAACAAATAAAAAAAAGTAATTATATAAATAAACATTAAAAAAAATTTCAAGATTTTTTTTAATTTCTCCTAATATAAAAAATTTCAGTTAAAACCTGGTCAAACCAACGCGACGAATTGTGTTTTTTTTTTTTTTGAAACATGATGCTTCCATGTAACTTGGAACCTTTAATAGTTTAAAATAAAGATATTTAATGTTTGATTAGTTTTTTGATTGCTAAACGTCAAATGGCAAAAAAATATGCTCAAGATTTGTTTGCTTATTGTGATGTTTGTTTGGAACTAAAACAGTTTTGTTTAAATGAAATTGGAAAGAAAGAATTAGATTTGATTAAGAATAATGATAAAATCTGTAAAAAGTGCCAAAACGCTTCACAACGAAATAAAAAAAAAATTAAAAAATTATTTTTAAATTTCAATTTCGGGATTTCCGATAACTTATTTTCATTTCAGTTTATCAGTATTTTCAGCTGAAAATGTAATAATCTTTGTTGTTAAAAACAACAAAGATTATTCTTAAGTTTCAAATCCACAAGTTTTAAAAGAAACAACTGACAAAAAATGCAATACTCATGATAAATCAATATTTGTAAATTTTTTTCAAACTTTTTCGTCTCACAAAAGCTGTCTTGTTTGTGGAAAGAAAAACTTATACAAAAAGATGAAAAACATTTCTAACGAAGCGATTTTTGACATCTATGTAGAAAAATTATATTGATATCATCTGGTTATAGGTGTTGCAGCATTCATCTTTGTCAATCATCATCTCTATTAATGAAGCAAAGTATGGAGATGTTATCAATTGGTAAAGCTAATATAAATCTCAAAAAAGGAGAGGTTAGAAATCTTTTCAAAACAATGCGTAATTCTGTACTTCGAAATTCACTTTTTTACCATTTCATGGATAAATATATTTTTGCTCAAGTATAAATGTCTCAGAATAACTGGATTTACATGGGAGTAATTTATTGAAATAAGTAACTCTTGATTTTGTGAATCTTGATTTTGTGAATAAGTGAATCTTGATTGACACTTGATTCAATGAGAAATTCAATCTAGCGCACTAAAACCCAGTCTTTGGCAATATATTTATTCTGGCTCAAAGCTGGGTTAAATCATTTGACAATATCAATGTTTCTTAATTTTGATCCTGAATTTGATATAAGTTGGTTACTTCAACAAGTCAGAGAGTCACTTACCATTGATTTTGTTTCAAATAATCTAAGCGTGAACCATATCCAAAGAAACAAATTATTAAAAAATAAATAATAACCTTATTGCTAAAGAGATTTTTTAAACAAGTGATGATCAATTGATATTAATAGTAAACGGAACTTACTGCTCTTGTCAAAAGAGTAACAATAACGTTTTTAAGCGTAAAACATACAGTGTTCAAAAAAAATAAACATTTGGTAAAGCCATTTGTGATATGTTCTTCTAATGGATATATCTTAGATGTTTATAAGCCTAAGCTTATGTTCTTTAATTTGACCAAACACCGTCATTATACTTTTTTTTGTTTGTTTTTACTCTTTAATGTACGCATACGTGTAGGAAAATGCATAAATTATGATAAAAAAGGGAGATGACTTTCAGATTGTTTTTTAGGAATGTTGCCAACAGAGATCTCAATATGTCTTTTTTTATTTATAATCAGGGTCTCTCAATCATAAAGAAACTATTTAGAAGTTTTAGGATCTCGCTTGGCAACAGGGCGGTAGGAGAGGATGTTTTATTACGTCATGTTTTTTGAAAAAAAAAAACTTTTTATTCTACAGCTTAGAAGCACATGGCATAATACTAATAATGGTACATAAGATGCTTGTCTTTATTTTGCTTGCCATTATCTTACTCCTGATTCTCTACCTCTACAAATCTCATATTTGTCTCTATGGAATACTGCTGTTAAAATTGGACTGGTTTTTCTAATAATGCTCTTTTTCAATGCCCTTTCTTTTTTAGACAAAATATAAAAATGCATTATTAACATAGTTAGACCTGCTTAATCTGCCAAGCTTGAGACATTTATTTATATATACAGGGTGTGCCAAAATTAACGCAAGATTTGAATTTAATAGAAAACACAGTTTTTAGTCTTTTGATTTTAATTTTTATATTGATTCATAAAGTACATAGAGTAAGGTTATTTATGGAATAACACATCAGACAAATGGCCGCGGCTTTGCATACACATGCGCAAATATTTATTGAAATTTTCCATGACCATTCGGCATAAATGTGGCTGATTTCGTTGATGCAATGTTGAATCTCCTCCTTTAATGCACGCATGGTTGTGGGCTTGTAGACGTAGACCTGTGTATTTAAATACCCCATAAAAAGAAATCTAATGGTGTTAAATCACACAATCTAGGAGGCCAATTCTGATTACCGAAACAAGAAAGTACACGACCTGGAAATATCTAATGCAGTAATTGAAGTGTTTCACGGGTTGTATGACATGTGGCACCATCTTGTTAAAACCACATATTGGCCACATCAATATCATCCAATATTGGTAAAAAGAACTTTGTTATCATGTCGCGATATCGAGTAACAGTCACTGCTTGACCAGCCTCATTTTTTAAAAAAGTATGGTCCAATTATGCCTCCAGCCCAAAATGCACCCCAAACAGTGACACTTTGTGGATGCATTTGGTTTTTCAACAATCGTATGTGGGTTTTCAGAACCCCAAAAGCGAAAATTTTGACGACTAACAAAGCAATCAAGGTGAAAATGTGCTTCGTTGCATAGGATGATTTTGCTCGAAAAATCAGCATTCATTTGTTGTTGCTCAATAATCCATTCAACAAACTCTCTTTGCTGTGCATGGTCATTGGGCTTCAGTAGTTGTGTTAATTGAATTTTGTAAGCATGGAGACACAGATCTTTAGTAGAGAACTTCTTGAAATTTGCGATTCTTGTCCACGACGCCGAATTGAGGTTCCTGGATTGTCATCGACACTCGCATGCACTGCCACTATACTGACATTTAAACGGCTTGTTTTTGGGCGACCAATGTGTTTGGCGTTTTCCACGGATCCTGTCTCTAGGATTTTTTCAATTAATCTCTTCACAGTTGGCGAAGTTAAAACACTATTCTGACCATGTATTGTCTAAAATTTTTGAATTGCAGCCGCCAAGCATTCATTATTTTTAAATATTGTGCAACAATTAAGACACGTTTTATTGCGTAACGCTCCATTTTTACTAACCCTTAACTGTCAACTGTTGATTTATTTTGTTTTTAGTGTTGTAAACACCGTACTGCATAAATGGTGGCAATTTCAAATCATGCGTTAATTTTGGGACATATATTTATATATATATGTTAATTTTGGGACATATATATATATATATATATATATATATATATATATATATATATATATATATATATATATATATATATATATATATATATATATATATAATATATTAATTAAGTGAGAAAATTAATTTTAAATATATATATATATATATATATATATATATATATATATATATATATATATATATATATATATTATATATATATATATATATATATATTTAAAAAAATCATTTTATCATACTTTAGCATGGTTTTAAATTTGTAAGGGTTGTATGAACTTTTTTTGACGTTTATGTAGTCTTATTGTTAAGCGTTAAAAATCGTGTTGTAAAACCATAATCGAGAACTTTTAATGTTATAGTGCATTTTTTTAACATAGCTTACATGGTTTTTTAAAAATTATTTATACTTTTTTTCTTGTACTATTGATTGTATCGTTTTATTTGTTGTTGTTTTATATTGTATTTTTTTTTACGACCGTCACGGTTAGGACTATCATAATATCTGGAGTAAAATGCAGTAATTTCGCCACTTTAGAAATTTTGCCACCAATTGTTGTTTATCTACTTTTATAACTATAACTTTACTCAAGAATAAGATTTTTTTATAATTCAAATTTCTGTTAGAAGAAAAACAACTTTCTTATCAACTTATGTAAAATTTAATATTCTTTTTGTAAATTCTTGATAAGAAAATTAATTGACAATACTAATCTATAAAAAAAAACAGGAAATTTAAAATTCTCGCAAAAATCAAATTATTTGTTTTTATTCAAAGCTTAAAAGGCTTAAATATTGGAAATTTTTGAATAAATTTTTGTATTGTTTTTTTGTTTTTAATTTTGATCGGTTCCCAAGTTATAACGAAAATACTAAATGGATGAATTTTGCCACCTATTTATGTTAAATAGAAATGCGCTTTGATTGGATTATTAATATTATTTTTCTACTGGGACAAAAAAAGGATGCGGAAAAATGATTCAAGCAAGAATGAGTTTTGGGTGATGAAACTAGAGATGATAACTTGTTTGAGCAGCGACTATGATAGTATTTGTGAATAGAAGAAAAAAATACAACTTAAGACAAACTTAGAGGCTGAACTTTCGCAGATAAAGCAGATTTAACTACATTTTTTTACTTAGTCTAAATAAGAAAGAGCATCATTAGGAAAACCAGTCGAAGTATGACATTAGTATTTCATACAGGGGTATGAAATTTATAATAGAATCAGGAATATGGCAATGGCAGGCACGATAAAGAGAAAAAACCTTAGCAGATTCTAATTTTGCAATTGATTTTTATATGGTTTCCGTGAGAGTTCGGGAGTGAACGATAATCCAAGAAAATTTATGTCTTCTTGGATTATCGTTCGGAAGTCAGCGAAGTCAAACGAGAATAAGATTTGGTTGATGGAACTAGTGATAATAGCTTGTTTGAGCAGTGACCATGTAATTATTTATAGGAAAAATAAAGACATGCAATAAAGATTAATTAAATTAGCAGAATAAGGAGTACCAACCTCATTTGTAATATGATTTTGAAATTGCCTTAGCCTCGTTACTACCATTAATTACATTATTATTATTACATTAATTACATTATTATTACATTATTATTAGGTATAAACAAACATATTTCTAGCTGTAGATCTGGTCTATCAACTAATAGATTTGATGTATATATCTATAAAAATGGCCACATTAGAATTTTGAACCTTGTTTCCAATTTTTTTTAATTCTTAAACTTATTGATTTAATTAAATGTCATTTTTTTCAGAATTACAATGAAATGCGTCATTAAAAATAAGTAAACGTATACAAATCCAAAAATTCCTAGCGGTTTATTTTTTTCTGCATTTCGTTAAAACTTTCAAACTAAATATTAAATGTTTTTTTTTTAACTTAAACACAAAAATATCTGAAGAAAAGTTTAATAGCTATCTAAACCTATATAAGTTGCAACCATGTTTTTTAAATTTTTATTTAGAAAAGTTTATCTAACTATATGGCTTTTATGTAAAACTACCGATTTTTAGAGGACGCAAACATGTCTATAAAATTATTAAAATTAAAAAATAATTAATTTACGTTTCATTATACAAAAAATACGCGGGTAAATGTTTTACACCAAAAATCTTTTCAAGAATAAATTAATTTTAACTCCCTTAAGTTTATGTTTCGCAATCAATCAAATGTTTATGTTTCACGATCAATCATATGTTTATGTTTCACGATCAATCAAATGTTTATGTTTCACGATCAATCAAATTAAGATAGAATTGAAAAGACTTGCAACATTCACATTTTGCACATATTTTTTTTAGATCTATTTCAGGTTGACCTGAAACTTTTTTCAAAAAAAGTTGAAAACCGTTAGTGCCTATTTTGCAACTATAACAAAATCAGTACTACTGATGATTTTTTGAATGCTTTTAAGCGCTAATGAATTTCAAGTATAAAATTTGGTTTAAGTGTGTTTTTTAAAATTGTTTTTAACAAAAAAAATTTTGAGACAAATATATTTATTAAATTTTCTTTTTTGTTTATTTACTGATATGACAATTTTTTAAATTTATATTAAATTATAATATATATACATTTATTTTAGTGTTATATATATATATATATATATATATATATATATATATATATATATATATATAAATATATATATATATATATATATATATATATATATACATATATATATATATATATATATATATATATATATATATATAAATATATATATATATATAAATATATATATATATATATATATATATATATATATATATATATATATATATATATATATATATATATATATATACATTTATTCTAGTGTAATTTATTCCAATCAATTTAAGCGTTGGCCAGCAATATAATTTCAAATTTTACTGATTAACAATGGAGGCGTTGGACATGGTGCAGTTGTGTTTTGTTACCCAGTGGTAAACTTGTAGCACTAGTTTTTTTATATCGTTATATAACTCGTAAACTTTCTGTATATCTATAGTAAATATAATTTGCACTTTTAAATAAATCTAAAATGAATATTTTCTGTTACCGCTAAAATGTTGTTTTTAGTTGTAATGTTTTTTATGCTACTAAAATGTATTCAAATTTTTACTAAAATAAATTTTTAATAAAATTGTTCACGGTTGATTTTATTATATATTAAATATTAGTTAGTTAACTGATTGACTTTTTGTAATAGACGTTTCTTTAACTCGATTGCGCAACTACTTTTGCAAAATAAAAAGAAGAGGCCAGTGTCGTCAATGGACCACCCTCTACCCCATGGCCTGTTTTGCAACATTGTACCCTGGGCTTGTTTTTTTCAAGTACCCAACGTATAAATTTGCTTCAGGTTTGTTGAGAAAACTAGCAGCATCGCTTGCATCCTTATCTACAGAGTCCATAAATATCATTTACGATGTCCTTAGTTTGCTAGAGCATTCTTTGCTGAGATAAAGATTGTGTAAAAGTGGTTGCGTAATGTTGCATAAAGGGTTGCTAAGTGGTTTGCGTAAGGTTGCGTAAAGGTTTGCTACATACAATATATCAACCTTGATGCCGACGCTACGTACTTAAGTGATGCTTTTACCAGGGATAAAGTCGTAGTTTTATGGAAACAATATTCGGTTGAACTGTAGTCGAAGCTGTGGTACGACTGACTGTGGTCAGTGTCTTTGTAAAATTGAATTTTTCAACCTAGGTTGTAAATTGTAATTTGTACACTGGAATTTTCTTGGTTTCTGGGAAAAGTCTTTTTTGTGCTCTACTTGAAAATATAAAGAAGTGTCTTTTTTATGCAGAAGATATTTTTATGCAGAAGTCCTACTGTTGGCCCTCTGCTGTAAGTGAAGAAAGCCTGAGAATCGTTTTTCAAATAAAAGTTGAGACCCTTAACAGGCTAGTAAGCAACTTGATCTTAACAAAGGGTCTCTTTGTATGCTAGTTGGCTCTAATTTGTTAGAGCTTCTGTGACTAGTTAGTTATTTCTAAGCTCAAGGCTGACGAAAGAGATAATTCGAATTTTGATGGCCTTTTTACTTAGATGAGCAACTAGAGCAACGAATAGTCAAGCCGCTCTAATTATTCAGTAATTCAGATTCAGAAATATCAGCATCAATAGGAACACCATCTTGTGCTTTGTGGACGTCGCTGTCGTGACTTAGTTGAATTCTTTCGTCTCACGGTCACAGAGCCATACAAACTCAATAAGTACTAAAAGCCTCTAAACTAAGTCATCGGTGATTTTTTGAGATGGTAAGTTCATACCGTCGTTCTTAAGGAGAAACACCGGCAACTTGACCATTAATGAGCTCAAGACCAGTTACTCTTTGATAGAGGTTAGTTAGCTCTTTTCTTTACGCTTTCAGTCGGTCATACCAGGTCTTAAGAAATAGACTTAACATAAAAAGTCTTCTCGGTAGAGCTAAAGTCAAAATTTTGGCTAGCTTTAAACAAGTAACCAGCTGGGCACTTCAGTCTTTACTGCATTATGTCTCGTTGTGTAACATTCACATTTGCCGCGTCCTAAGACTGATTTTCATTTGATTCTTCAGGAATCTCTTTGAGCTCATCAATGGTAACTTCACAATGCATAGAAAGCCAAGAATTGTGTGACTTTCCCTACCGAAAATTTTTAACTAGCTATTATGATTCATCTGACATTTCGATTAGTTAATTTTTTTCATCAGAAAGGTACCCGTTCTATTCTTACTTCATTAATGTCTTGATCAGTGAGGTTTTTGAAATAATTTGAAAAAGGTTTGGCTGGTGAGCTATATTTTGAGTTGATCGCAAAAAACCTTTAAGAGGGTACAACCCTCTTAACATAAACAAAAAAAATTATTTTTGAAAGTTGATTTTTTCTATATATTAAGTAAATTCTAAATAAAACTAAGAAAAAAATAAAACAATAAAAAAAAAGGGTTGCCCTAAGGGCCAATTTTCAAGGGCTAATAACTTAAAAATTGTCCATTTTTGTGACAAAAATATTTCAAAATGCAAAAGATCACATAAAATAAAATTTTGCATATAACTAGCTTGATGTTAGAGGTATGCAATAAACCTGAAAAACTTATAACTTACTTATTTTTTAGGGTCGTTCTTTATTTCTTTAAAGGATGCAAAAAAAAAGCTATTTTTAACCCATCATAATGACCGAAAAATCGTTATATTTATTTTTTAACACATACATGGATATAATTTTGAGGCTCATCGCACAACTTGATACATAGTCAACAAACTGTCCAAGTATGATGAGTTTTGGTCAATCCGTTTCTGAAATATTCTTGCCACAGTAAAGCAAAGGATATTTTTAATGAGATATCAATAAAATATTGATATCTCATAAAAAATATTGAAAGTGCAAATGTACACACACTCGACACAAACGAACGTTAAAAATCTCAGCTAACAATGTCATCTTAACTATTCGGTTCCCTGTAATTTTTTTATACAACAGTCAATAATAAATTTAACCTTTGAACCATTTAAATTCTAATCAGAAACTGTTTTGCGCTGTTATCTTTAAATATAACATAAGAGCTTTAAGTAAAACTTTTTATTCGAATAATAGAGTGTTAGCTACTATGAGATATCATACTTTTTTGTCATTTAGATCGAAGTTTGCGAGATGGTTTTCCACTTCAGTTTGTCTATATATTTTTAACTTGTTAGATATACTATATAATAATATATTATATCTAACAAATAAATATATATTTGTTTAGTTTTTCACTTAGGAGACAGATTTTACAAAAACAAAAGCTTACGGGGACATTAACATTATCGGGGACATTTTAGTGTACCCGTTTTAGTGTAACCGTTTTTGTCTCTGTTAGCATTATCTTTTTTGCAAAAAAATGTAACCATAAGAAAATTTTATAGATAACGAAAAGTACATACATCGAAAAAAACTATCAAATAGCCTGACTCGCAAGGGAGTGCTGCTACATTGACTGAGGGTTTTGGTTAGGCCAAGCATCAAGGTCAGGCTTAGAGTTAGGGTTACGGGGAGGTTTAAATTTGATTATATTATTGTAATTAATCGTTTTTGTAAAAAAACGAAATTAAAAATGAATGTAATATAAAACAAACAAATAAAAATAACAAAAATTTATTTAAAAAATATATTTTTATAATAAAATAATAAATTTAAATGTGTATAAATAAAACATAGAAGTAAAATAGAAGATAAAAAAATATATAAATATGATAAAAATAGTATAAAAAAGTAAAAAAACAACAACAATAGAACAGGAACAATATATAATACAATAATAGGAATATATATATATATATATATATATATATATATATATATATATATATATATATATATATATATATATATATATATATATATATATATATATGTATATATATATATATATATATATATATATATATATATATATATATATATATATATATATATATATATATATATATATATATATATATATATATATATATATATATATATATATGTACAGCTACAAGATTATCTTATAAAGTAAAACAAATTGTTATAAAACTAAATTTAAACATATATTCAAACTAGGTTTAGGCAAAAATGTAAATCAGTTTGCATAGTCAACTAGAAGAACCACGTGATTTATCAGCATTATGTCTGTTGTGCAAACAAAAAGCTGTTTGCAAAAACAAAAACCTAAAATCAACTTTAAAATAGTGCTTAAAAAGGTGAAAAAAAGTACTCAAAAATGGTTGCTACGTTGCATGGGGAGTTAAAATAACAGTAATCTAAATAAATGAAATTTTGACCAATTTTAGTATCTATCAGAAAAAAATAAATGTTATAACAGTTTCTTTTATAAATTTGAGTTAAGTTAAGTGTAGTTTAAAAAATATATATTTTTTTTTGAACAATTTACACTTTTTAATGGGGTTGTGTCCCCTTGCCTTCACGTTGGAAACACAATAATTGAAAAAGCACTTTAAGTGGAACCAAGAGACAATAGTTCTGAAGCTAATAAAATTATAAGAACAGTCTTTTTTCAATTATCTTTATAAAATAAGACATTTGTACTAACACTACAGAAATAAGAAAAGATTTAAAAAAGCGCATGAAAAAGGAACGCGAGTCTGTTAAGTTTGCAATAATATTCTAAGACAAACTGGCCATTTGCGATAAGACTATGAAGAAATCAGATACTGTCTTTATTAGATACTGTCTTGACTAGCATTCTTTAAGTGTCAATATAACTTTTATTTTTTTTTTAATTTAATAATGACTCAGTCAGTAAATGATTCAATCTAAAAGCATCAAAAAGTAATAGTGATGTAATAATTTTCAGGTATAATTTTATTCCAGATTTAAAGGAAAAATTTAAACTTTCCTCGGAGAAACAACTTTTTTTTTAAGAAAAATAAAAATTAGTGAAAACTAATTTCAAAATTTACCAGCAGGTAAAATTCTAAAATTTTAGAAATCTACCCTAGTAGCAAACAATATTGGCGTAACATTGGCACGATATTGGGTATCTTGGCTAATCTTGGCCAAGATATCCGATATTGTGCCAATATTGTCAAGCAATATTACGCCAATACTGTCTTACCAATATTGGCAAACAATATTGCGCCAATATTATCCATTGTCGTTTTACTGAAATTATTATGCCAATATTGGCGAAATATTGCGCCAATATTATCCATTATCGTTTTACTGATATTGTTATGCCAATATTGGCGAAATATTGTTTGCCAATATTGGCTTTATATTAAATTTTACATATTGCTACGCATGCGTAACATTAAGGAATATTCATAATGTCCTTTAGTTTTGTTAAATGTGTTTAAATGTAAATAATAGCATCTTTTTACATAAACAGGCATTCGTATGTTGTTAATTTTTTTACAAAAACAAATAAGAGTTCAAAATAAAAATTTTAATTTATGAAAAGAGAAGTAGTAGGAAAAGTATTTTTTATTCATCATTTACAGAGTGAATCAGGAGAAGAAGTGTTGGTAATTTATTTTGAAACAGATAGTATCACGAGAAGAAGTGTTAATCACGAAAAGAAAGCTTCTTATGCAAAGGCTAGGAGAAATAAACTCCGACTAAAAATTCCCCTGCCTTGGGGCTCTTGGTTGAGTAAAGGC